TCTTTATCCCATATTCACGTGGAGATGAAGCAACAGAGCATGGATTATCAATTACTGGAACAAAAAGTCAATTTTGTTTAGATGCAGCAGCGGCTTCATTAGATTTACCAAACGATGAATCTCAACAATTCAAGTAATGGCAATTTTCGATTTATTTAATTTAATGATTAATTGATTTCATTAATTGAAATGGTTTCTCAACTAATTTTATACTTTGCAGAACATCTTTTTGTGCTTATATAGTGATTATCTTGATTAAGTTTTTAATCATTTTTTTATTATTTATCATTATATTCTTTTACTGTCTTGTATTCCTGAAACACTATCTCACTATTCGGTTCCCGTAAGAAAATTAAAAGCGAAAGAAAACAGTTCGTGTTTCAGTAAAGTTTATTTATAATTTACATAGGAATACCTCGTCTTCTTTAATGCTAATTGGTTGAAAAGGAGCCAATCAACGTGTTTTGAGCGTGGATTAGTTAGGACTGTCTTGTCAACATTCATTTGGAGAAATACCTTGATAAATAAAACACTCGGGTCTCAACTATGAGTGATGAATTCAAATCACACTTCATATAGTCTGATGTTTTCAGCCTGGTGATATTACTATCACCCTTCACGCTAATCTATACAGCTCAAAGCAAAGTACATAAAGCATGCACGTGATAAAAGTCTCACTATTTATTTCATTATGTTTTTTAATCTAAAGCAAACATTCAGTCATTAATTTTTATTATGGGTTTATCACCAATAGGTTCATTTTAGCTAGTCAGAAATGTTGAATTAAACGTTTTATAACCGATGGAATACAAAGTCGGTAAAGATTATTACGATTTTTTAAACTTGTGCCATACAATTAAATTTCATTAAACAAATAACTTATGTCCTACATTTCGGTTCTTTTATTTCCTAATAATAATTCAGTGGTGGAGTTGTAGGATCACATAGTCGAAAGCTTGTTTGGGATCGTAAACGCAAACGATTTACTGGAATGGATGCTGCTCAAGGTAAAGCAAATATGAAACGTATTAAAACTGAAAGTGGTGTATGGATTCCTGCATCATACAAAACAGACAAGTGGGTCATTATCATTAATTGAATCTAATTTACCCCGAAAATATCACCTCATCAATCACTGTAATTGATTTATTTTACTGAATACCTTTCACTGTATAAATAAGTATATACATTTGTCTAAATTGAAAATTAGAGGTCAATTATGTGTTAGTTTGTTTATGAGATATGAAATAATGTGAAATATTAACCCATAAATAATGCTTCTGATGCATTTTATTTAACATAGTTATGAAGTGCAATTGTATGACAAAATAAGGGACTTACTAATCCCTTACAATTCATTGCACACTATTCTATTCTAATTGTGACTTTTTTACACAACGTAATGCATCTCTCTCTAACCGTTATATTCTTATTCTTTTGTTAAGATATAAATTATGGCTTAAAAAATCGAAGTCAGATATTATACAGGAAACAAGCAAAGCTATAGAAGAATCATCCTCCTTTATCGATGCTTCAAATACGCGTAAACAATTTTCAAAGTATGGTGATGTAATTGAATTACCTGATACAAATGAAGTGACCGGTAAACAAAATCACTTTTTCAAATCATCGACAGGGTATAAGAGTAAAAAACAACAATTAACACCGAAATTCACAGTAATTGGATCACAAAAATGGCGTAAGTAAAAAGTTTTGTCAATAATCTAATTTTAACAACCATTTTTTAAAACATCAATATATCTTTCTGATTAAATTTTTTGGCTAAATGGTGTTCTTTAGTAATTTTTATTCAGTCGATAAAACTTAATCAAGTCATTAACAACTGAACTGAGCCAAATGTAGAATACCTGATTGGGGTACGGGGGATTATATCCAGTGATTGGAGACTTTGAATGACGTAGCTCAAAGTCGTTTGCATTGGTACAGGTACATTCACCCTTTTTCTTCACTCAGATTCTAAGTTCCTGAATCCCTTATGGTTTTTTTCAAAATTTAACTAATTTATACTTTTTTTGAATCGTATCTCCGTTCCCTAATCTTTCCAATCAGCATTTATAATGTTACTACCTCTACTACTCTGAGATTTATACTGACGATTTTATCTGTCTGTACCGATGGGTTATAGCAACTCGGACCGATGCCCTTACAGATCAGGTTCTACCTTTCTACTGAATAATAGTTTTTCTTAAAGGTGCCATAATCACCATTATCATTTTATGTAACTGTAGGATGAAATTGTGGGTCACTAGTAGTAGTAATAGTATATAATGAAAAGTAATAGACCTCACTTTTACATAACCTGTTAATCAAATACATGTACATACTTCTCAGTAAAATGTCAAAATCATACATGAAATACATTATCTGCACATCTTTTAATAGTCTCTTAAAAGCTTCATTGTACCCTCACCCCTATTTTTGTCTTGATTGCTTTGAGTTTCCTTCTCTTTTCTCTTTAAATCAATCATTTAAACTCTATGCCCACACACATTCTGCTTCCGACTGGTTACATACTACTTATATCTGTAAACATAAGTAACATACACCGCAATTATACTAGCCAAACAAACAGATGGTTTGTACAAACATATCGTTTCACTTGATTTCTCCATATATATATATATATATATATATATATATATATATATATATATATATATATATATATATATATATATTTGTACACTAATTTTAGAAGACCGAGCAACTTCTCGACAGAAAGAACGTTTACAGAATGCAGAAGAAAGGCAAAAAATACGCAAACCAAAGGGATCTCGAACATTTGGTCAACTCAGGCTACCTGAGCAAATATTGAAGCAACGTAAATTGCGCGAAAAACAGAAACAACGTGCTCAGAAAAACAGGAATAACAACCAGTCACACAAAAAACGGAAACATTAAAGTATTTTAACTATACTAATTTCTGTACAGTTAATTTTTTTATTGAGATAACGTATTTAAGGAATAAGAATTCTATTGTCAACAATATACACCTTGTTTATGTTTATTGAAAACAGTTAATGGTGAACTATTTTATTTAAGCACTAGGGAATGAACTAGTTCTGGATTTAACGATATAACCGTTATCAAGTCCGTGACGTATATTGTTGGAACCTGCTTTTGTTGTAGTGCGTTAGTTCTTCTGCAACATTGCAGTGAGAAGAGTCCATTCTCATAAACCTTAGTGATAAATCACAGTTGATCTGGTAATTATTTCTAAAAGTAGCAGTTTGTACGAACAACACAATGGTAAAATGGACATATTTTTCTTTCATTAGATAATATTCATGTACAGTATAACAGACAGTTCAACTACAATGTACAGTCATTGCGCTGTCATCTGCTATTCACAAAACATCGAATGCTTTTTCCTGGCATAATAATGTTCAACCTGCTAGAAAAACTTTTAGTAGTAAATTACTAGCGCCATTTTATATCGACACTTACTCAGTCTTTTAATAGCGGGTGTTTATTGTTGCCGCAACTAATTTTATAGACTTTGTTTGTTCAGCAATAACTTAATTCTCATTGTTGTGGTTATGGACAAAATATTGTCGTCAAGAGAATGATGACTTACGTGAAATTTCTCTACATGATCAGCAATTCCCTACTTGATCTATTCATTCATGATTTACTTGGCTTTTTCATTTAAAAACAACTCTTACGTCCATCTTTGTATCATACACCATCAGATTTTATAAAACTTTACTTCGAGTTCATTGTCAAAATATACTGTATTCAGTTTTTATTTACTATCATGCCCAGTTGGTCTCATATGATATATTCTCGTATTAATCTGGCTAAAAAATTTCTAATCAGTCGTTTGTATGTTGTTAGGTTACGTGATGACACAGATGAGTTTTCTCCTCAGAATTTCCAGTTACGAAACCTTATTTGCTTTAACAACACTTTTAATCGGAAATACTATGTGGGATTTAGGGACTTAATTTCCATATTTTCTGACAAGTTATATTAAGATTATAGTTACTCGCCTGGAAGCAAACTAGACCAAGCTTTTTTATTATCTTCAGCTGTAGGATGCGAAAAGAACGCCCCCAAATGCCCTGGTACGGCCGAGAGTGGGGAGAGTCCGCTCTCCTTCTCGAAAAGCGAATGTCCAGCGCTTTAACCGGATTCCAAACTGATGGTGAACATGGGCTCCAGTATCCTGCGGGAACAAATAGCGTAGGAACCAATAGTTGGTAACCGGCTACCATGAGACTGCATCTCCTTACGATGCTCCACTGCCTTGTGGATCAGACCTTCAGGTCGAAGGCTCAAGGAGTGACCCCCTAAGAAAACCACCTGCTTCGATTTGGGCGCCCGGGCAGCATCAGAGCCCTCACACATATCGAATGAGATTTGTGTGGCGCATATGTATTTGGTGCCTCCTTGTACCAATATATATGTGTTAAAATAATAAATAATAAAAATATTTCGAAAAGAACAGTTTAACAAGCACTTTGATATATTCTTTATTTTGTGAGTGACCTCGGGGTTTTCATTATATTAGTATTTAACCACCACTGAAATAATGTCGTTAACAGTTGTAAAGTAAACATAGCGACAGCGTCATGGGTTGATATCATACTACTGTTTAATCGCCTTAAAGATTTATATGTACCGAGTGAACTAACACTCCAAAAACATAGAAAGCTGAAGTTAATCATGAAAATGAAATTCAATCACTGTAGGAAGTCATCCAATGTTTTAGTTAGAGAGTCCAAATAACATTTTTACAAACCAGTAGCAGTATTTTTGGAAAAAGAAAGTCTGATGATAAGTTTCTATGCTGATGTATTGAAACAAACAAGCTACTACAACGAAATTTATATTGGCATATCTGATAATACACTGAATATGATTCCAATTTACGCTCAAATATCACTCCACTATAATTAATATTAAGTAGTCCATAGTAAACTGCTCAATTATTTTATGATGATTTACTAGTCAAAAAACAAACAAACGAACATTTTAAACGAATAAAGTATTTATTTTACTAAAATAATATTTATCACAGTGTTTTAGATGAAATTATGTATAAAAAAATTAGTTTAAATGATACAATAAAAAAAATACGTATGCATACAAGTTTCACTTTTGATCTTTTCCAATATGGTAGTCTAGAAATTCTTTCAACTGCAAATAAATCGGCGGATATTCTCGTTGTTGTCTTAGTTGGACCTAATGAAAGCAAAGTTATTAAATACAGTTTACTTTATAATACACATAAATTTATATGATACAGATCATCAATGTATTTAGATCGTCATAGAAAGCTTTCTTCATTACAAAAAATCACTTAAAATTAATATGAACTTTTGGAAAGTGGTCTCTGTATCTGAACAAATATAGTTCTTTGCGATCGCAGTGGTAACCGGTGTTACGATGTAGCGTTTAGCCTTTTTTTATCATGACGAATTGACCAAACTATGCTGAAATAAAGAGTAAACTGAGGAGTGGTGTTCAGATCAAAGTACGGAACCGGTCCGTTAAAATAACTAACAGACTGAAGTAAATAAAGATCTGCAAACTTCCTTGATGGGATCTGTTAATAATAATCTATGAAGATCAATTGCAAATACATACATCTCTGTAATTATGTAGTTTAGTACCATAGAATGCATAAAATGCATTCTATTTTTGTTTGGCACTGCGCGTCATATGGTGTCTACTCTATTACTTCACATTATTTTGAAGTAAATTGCGGTGATTTGATTCTGATAGATATTTGTAGTGGGTTCTGCGCTGTTTATTATCAACCAATTGAATTTTTCATACAGGCTATTTACTCATATGAGGGTTTCTTTCTAGATGATACTGACGATTTCTATAAACAATTAGTATTTACATTGTAATACGAGTTTTTAATGATAAGATTTACAAAAATTCCACCAAGGATCCAATTTTCATAAGTTCTATTTTAAATTGGAGTTCTCAGATTACTTAAAGCAATGCATCTTTTTTAAATCGAATATTTCCCATAAAGATGACAATAAATACACAAAAAAGCACATGTGAACTTATATTTAATTTAAGAATCCAATCTTAGAAAATGTAAAAAAATACATTTTATAAAATTACCTCATGGACATATGCTGAAAGACCATTGCGTAGGAAAACTAAACGTTCCGTATCGTTTTTCCTTTTCACCAACCACGATACATAGTAATTTGTAGACCAACCTGCAACAATATGGGGATAACGAATTTCATCCGGTGCTCTGCTAAACATATGTTGACAAATCAAACTCGGCAGTAGATGATTTGACGAAGAACCAACTGAATTTTCTTTTGCATAAGTCTGAGGAAAAATTATATATAGTGTGAATATATTATTTTATACTATTTAGAATCGGGGAAAATATGAAAATGCTTTCTATATATTACGACTTAATAAAAGCAGATATATTCGCACAAATAAAATATAGTCATGTCAATTATTATAGAGTGGTTGCACATACAATGGTTATAACATTTGGATTTCAATCAGAAAGTTGTAGATCTGAGTTGTACTTCGCCCAATTTGGTTTGGCTCGGTAGTATCATCAACTTTTCAGGCATAGTGTTACCTCAATGCCAACTATATAAATGTTCGTACTTGGTAAATGAATTGTATGATCAAAATTAGATTAGTTTTACAAGATTTACAGTTGTTCAGGTCTCGAAACCTATGATCAACATATATATATGACCAACAATATAGTGATTACAAGTTATTTGTTCGGTGTATATTGAAATACTAAGGTTTAGCAAATATAATTCAGATTAATGATAATTTACGCGAGATCTATGTAATCCAAGTGTTTCATTGCATCGTTTGTTGCTTGCTAACAGTATGCTGACTGATCAGAAGCTTGCTAAATTTCAATATTTGTCTGGACTTAATTAAACTAATCTTCGTCCCCCTTGTATTTGCTTAACGTTGACCGTTCGTTGCTGCTTTCATTAACAGGAATGTAAGTTTGCAAACTGAAATTGATGGTTTCCTACTGTAATATATTATATGTATATATTCTGAGAAACCACGACACTTATGCAACTTAAGTCGACCTCTTAAGCGTTTATTTACGTGAAAATAGCAATTATATTTATCAGTATATTATCAATTATAGCCATCAGAGTCAACAATCCACTATTTATTAATAATATAAATGAATATTGTACGTACAAATTTATAGTCCTATTTCACCAGGAATTTATGTCTATCTCCTTTACAAATGAAAAAAGCTGGCTACCTTTTCCATGTACCTAACCAGTTTAAAGTATTCAGTAAGATAATCCTGTAATTATCATGTCGAGTAGAATACAAATAATACCCTCGAACAATTTAGTAAACTCGATTAAATTTAATAACAGGCAACCGAATACATAAAACACACACAACAAAGCGTACCTGAACTAACTGTTCATTTTCCATAGATAGAATAGAAGGAAATTCTCTTAATTGTTCATAAGATTCTGGGATTAGTTTACTTAATGTATATCCATAATTTGGAGAGCATAATGGCATTAAAGCTAATTCAAAATCTTTATAATCAGCGGCTAATTTAAGACGTATTGATTCTTTTGAAGAACGAATTAATGTTGATCGCCAAAGATAACTGTTGACACACATAGTAAGAATTGGTTTTAAAGCATCTTGCAATGCGAATTCACCGCAAACATAACAACCTGATTGTGTGAATATATTAGGTATTGTATTAACAAATTTTGGAGGTTGTGATAGATCAGATAAATATTGTTGCCGAACTCTAGCGGTAAAGTTCTGTCAAAAAAATTATGAAAACAAATAAATCAGTAGAGTTTACATATTAATGAAAAATATTCAATATATCTGATGAATATGAAATGGAACTTTTATTGATTTAATTGTACTTAGATTCCTACATATATGTAAACTTAGTAATTATGTAATACAAAGTTTATTTTATTGTACAAAAATTACGGAGGTAAAAACCAACTGCAAGATTTTATGCCATGGAATCATAAAAGCAATAACTAAGTGAAGTATGATTAATTAAGTATGCAATTAACAATAATATGCACAACAAGGATGTAAAATATTTCAATTATACTCACTAATCATTTATTTAATAAGTTAATTAAATATACATACGTAGAAATGATGTCATCGATAAAGCTAATTTGATAGATGACAAAATGGTTGACTTGTTTGAACAGGTAAAAAAACTTTAAATACAAATTAATAAAGGTAGAAAGATTTCAATGCAGTATTAGTAATATAAACGAAATTAGTTTAAGTAGTACTTATTAGGTTTGGAGATTTTTAAATGTACATTGTGATATGCGGTCTTAGGTACGGGTGTTTAATGGTTCTATACTGTGAGGAAACATATATAAGGAGCCCTTTAGGTTTTCAATAATTTTTCATTCAGTATTATTTCGTAGTCAATTAATTTTTTGAACTATCTTTCAGCTGTTAGCCGGGTTTTGGAATTTTCTGTTGTCTATATTCAGGACTCCAACTGATCAGTCTCTGTTGCAATATGTGCACAGCGGATTTACGCAAAGTAGTGTTACGTTATAAGTTGAGTGTGTGAAGAAGAAGGTACTAGGTTTGCCTCGGTGTGGACATCTAGCTGGTGGGTCCCCAAAAGAACAAAACGCGAGACATTGATCCGAACCCCAGGCACGTTAATAAATATACGAGAAATATCTTTCAGTTCCTTTACGCGATTTGCATACAAATGCTCTTTTATATAAACACTACCTACTTGTGGCTAATATTTGGCAGATGGAAATAAAATTGACAGATAATCAATATAAAAGAACAGTAGTAATTAATCGTGATAGAAATAGACCAAATTTATTTTACAACATTATTCATTTCGCCAATTTACGGAATCTAGACTTAGGTAGCTTTAAAAAGTTAAATTTTCAATATAGAACGACAAATATTAGTTTTAGCCCATCAATAAGATGTATTTATAATCTTGTGGGAACTGATACTCTCTGTGATATTCGAAACCACATTATCCACTTTCCTACGAACTACCTCAGACAACGTGAAAATCTAAACATAGTGCACATGATGTCAAGTCACTTAGACTAGTGATCACATTGTAATGTGATCGCTAGAATTCAAACGACATTCAATGATTAGACAAACATGACATTTTGTTACCAATCAATGATCAAGCAAAGTAATTTTGACTTTCAAACAATATTCAACGTGACTAATCATTTGATGTTACTATTTCACTGTAGCGGCTAACAGTGGAGTACAAAATATTTTATTTGTATTTAGAACTCATTCACTGCATTCCAATAAATGTATATGTTCAAACTAACTAGAATTCAATGCATAAATTGTTTCAGACAGCACGACACTATTTGTCTAGACATCAGTTTATGACAGCAGTCTAGATTTTTCAACTTTTCTGTCATTAGTGTGTTTCGTTACATTGAATCGCTTAATTGTCAAGTATTGTTTATCATGAAGAACTATATGGACATAATGGAAAGATTAATATTTACAAGAAATATTATGAATTTCCTTAAAAAGGAAAATAACTAACCTGTAAATCTTGTAGATACTTTGATTTACTGCTTAGTTCATTAACTGATACATTTTGATATGAATCATATTCATTATGCATTGAACTTAAAATTTCATCTATTTTATTACTAATAGCTAGAAGAAATGGATTTAAAATGGAATTGCACAAATTATTCAAATGATTTTTTGTTGATTCTGAGATTAACTGAAGTGGATTTTTGATTGGTGTCATTGTTTCAATTGTGGTAGTCAGTGGGAAGGTTTCATTTAAAAATGTAGATGATTTATTATAGTTTTTATGATTAATGTTAGATGTTGTTATTGTATTCAGATTGTTCAATCGTTTATTAACAGTTAATTGTAAATTTGTTCCAAACTGACAGAGAAGGTTGACTAAATGTATATTATTCTGTTGTCCAAGTGTTTGTGAATCTGTCAATTGTACTGCACAAGTACTGCCCGTAGAAATTAAAGTTTCAGTTTTAGTTGCAAATAAAGCAATCAATTTATCTAAGTTGCGAGTAACCTAAGTTTATGAAAAGGAAGTTAGGTAACAGACAGAAAAAGCAGTAATTTATATGTTTATCTAATGATTACATATTTAGTATTAAGTAGACAAATTCATTGTTCAATGTGAACTATTTAATTTGACCTGATGATTAGTAGAGTCTATCAGTGTTACACACAGGATCGTTTTTGTAGATAATATGGTAATAATTGTAATGTAAGCAATGTAAACACTTGATTTTGGCAAGCAATAAAATTCATAATGAATGCTTCCACATTTTCAGGGATCTAGAGTATAAGTATCTGCGTTATAACGACGGTTTTTAGAGAAGACTAAATCTTAATAACGGAATTATCAAACAACTTTTGTGTAGAGATCGTTTCGTGACTTCACTTATCATTTTGTACGAGAAAATACTCATATGTTTACTATTAATTCAAGCACATAGAAACAGTATAACATCTGAAATACAGTTTGCATCAGTTAAAATTGCTATACTTCATAACAGTACAGTGATATGGTCAAGAAGAAAATTACAAAATGTTCCTAACTTGAGTATATCATAGATAATTTAAAAATGTATTATTTTCAGGAGTTATTTCAGCAACCAAGACTAGATAGACAAGTATACTAGCGTAGGATCCCTACACACAATAAGTTGTTGTAACTCAGTCGGTAATTAATCAATCGTTCCTCACACACTTAATTTCCATTGACTTAATCAAGGATAAAACTGTGTCAATGAACAATTAATGTCTCTCAGGAAACAGCAGAAGCCAGATCTAGAGAGTTAACTATCAAGAGCCCTAAATAATTCCACCTGATGTAAGTAGTTTATGTACGATTGAGAAGTGGGAATATTTGAAAATCTTATCACTTTTGCAAAAATAATACTAATTTGTTAAATAAAACTAACTCAAACAGATTAATTGAGTACGACAATAAACCACGTATCTAAATAAGTGTTTCGTTATTAGTGGTTGGTTTCGAGATTAACTGCCCAAAATCCTAGTGAGAAGCTTTGATTTGTGGAGTCAAGTAAGCATCAATCGAATGATGTAAGGATTGTGATCCATCGTGAATTGAGGTTAGAAGGGTGAACTATTGGATTACAACCTAGTTGGTTAATAGAAACTATGTTCTTCAAAAGTTCGAAAACCAGGATATGTATGATACTCCGTTGAGCCTTAAATGGGCAATAATATTATACATTAGGCTAAAATTGATTTATGGCAGTTTCCAGTTATTTCGGTTGAGATTAGTTCAGAAAGAAAACTAACTATGAAATAAACATAAGTATTCATCTTAATCTCAAATTAAAAATGCCGCTCACCTTATATAAAAGGTCATGATGAACAGTAGCATATGCTAATTCATTTGCAGCTGTTTGTATGATATCATTTAATTCATTTGTATCTGGTCCAGCTGTTGTAGATGTCGAAAAAGCCAAAGTTACCCTATCAAATAAACGTGATACACTACGAGATAAATAAGCTGTTTCAAACGGATGCAGTGCTCGAACTAAACATGAAGGTAGTTGTTCCAATATAGTTTGTTGATGCATAGGTGATAAAGTATATTGATCATAATTACTATTATTAGATAATTCATTTGAAAGGGTACTGGTTACACGACGTTCCAAATCTAATATTAATTTTAATAATTTCGGATATTCTCCTTCAAGCACTTCTTTAATTACTGGTGATTGATTGGAAACAGCAGAAAGTTTAGTGGCCAGTTGATCTGATGCCCAACCAAGGAATCCTTCATTTGAAATCAGTGCATTACGAATATCTGCACGACTATCATTAATTTGTTTGTGACCAACTGAATTATCGATAGCAGAGGATGAGTCGATGGTATCTTCTATTATTAAAAAACGTGCAAAAATATTGTTAATCATAATACTGTACGAAATTTATACGAACACATACGGTTAAAATTTTTTTAGTACATTTAAACATTAATAGAAAAAGGAATTGACTAACGAATTTTTAGTAAACAGATTGCACCGTTATAGTTTTGCCACAAACTGATGTCACTAGAATAAACGAGAAATATCACACAGTAGTGTACAGCTATTTCGTTCTTAAAGATTTACATGGAGAAAACACTAATGATATTATTTGAAATCTCAAGTATTTAGGCATTGCGCATCATTCGAACAGCTGGTGATTTCAAATATAGACAGCTAGTTACAAAACTTAGTGATTGCAAACCACATAGCTGAGCCCTAAGTCAGTCGGATAGTCAAACGCAATGCAGAATCTGCTATGTATGTATATGCGTTCAAGTTACCATAATCTATTAAAACAGACCTCAGAGTAGTAGAGGTAGTAACAGTATGAGTGCTGATTGGAAAGATTAGGGATCGGAGATACGACTCAAGAAAATATAAATTAGTTAAATTTTTGAAAGTTATAAGGAATTCAGAAACTTAGAATCTGGGTGAAGACAAAGGGTGAATGTACCTGTAGCGTTGCAAACGACTTTGAGCTACGTCATTTAAAGTCTCTAAACACTGGTTACGATGACCACCCGTACACTATTCAGGTAGTCTGCACCTGTTAACATGGTTCAGTCCAATTGTCGATGACTTCATGGACTGATACCATATTTTGGTTTGGCTGGTTCTAATTTTCTTCCAACCTACTCATGCACCAGAACACCACCCGTCGATGTATGCAGTGGCTGGGCATACGTAACACATGCACCAACAATATGAATATTTATTATCCCTAAAATGTAAATGGAGATTATACTGTGTTATGAGCACTTGACTTTCAAACAATGGGTTTTACGATTACGCTCCACTTTACTTGCTTAGGTTAGAGGAGTTGGATAGCGTGCATAGCTCCTAAACAATACATACAAGAGCCTGTATTTTGTTGTTTAATCACATTGAAGTCGATATTTCATTAAATCATTTGACCAGTAACATGAATGTTAATTAGTGTAAGCTTAAAACCCGAGAGATATCATTCATATTTATTATTAAAAAGTCCCATTACATATCAGAACATATATCTAACACAATCATTGACTTCTTACAATTATTGGATGAGAATTACTACTAAAAAGCTTAGAAAATTTTATTGATCAATAACTCTCCGAGTAAAAAAGAAAACAATGTTACAAACTGCATGTTTTGATATTTCAGGGAATTTATTGATTGTTTGTACATTAAATCAGTTTAGCGAAAACCATGAGTAAATGTTCTTCTAATCTCAATATAGATGTTTGACTTACCATTATTTAAAACAATCGTTATATAATTATCCTGTTGATTTTATGAACTTTTGAGTAAAACATCTAATTTGAGAAACGATCTAACCTAATTACCTTAAGAGATTCGAGTATTTAAATTCCATTTATTGTTTTAATGATAATTTATGATTTCTATTATGAATTATAACTAGTTTAATAATAAACTTCAGCAAATGGTTGTATATATATGTAACAAATTAAATGATTTTTATAAGTCAATTCATTATATTATTACTAAATGTCAAAGAGTTAATCTCAAATATGATACTTAAAGATTCTATTAAAACAAATAATAAATGATAATACATACCTTGACGAGTTAAAGATTCTTTAAAATTGGCTGAAGCAAAAATTAACAAAATTGAAGAATATTTTTCAGAATTTTTATTATTTTGCCAATTGGTAAGCATTTCATGTATAAGTAATTCAGCTAGACTAGGATATAATTCAGAAATATATTGATCTAAACGACATATACTTGTCATACATACATCAATATGTGTTTCACGTTGTTTCATTAAAGTTAGACCAAGTAGACGACTACAAGAAATAAGTTGTTCCATTTTATCAATAGTTCCATCTAAACTAGTCCATACAGCAACATGAAAAGCAGCTGCTTGACCACCAACTGCTGATAATGAGGCTCTACCTGAAAAAAAAACATAACAGAAAATAATATACTGTAGGTTAATTAATACCAAAACATGCGATGTTACCTAGATTGTAATTTGTACTAAACACATTTGTTAATGACATTCAGTCAATCAAATGTATATAAATGAAGTTATTAAGTATGATCCAAACTAGAGACTGATGCATCCGATTATGTTACTCTCTATTCATTGATCAATCACAGCAGGACTCAGAAGAAGTCATCAAATACATATACTATAAATTTTAATTTTATATTTTTTATATCACATACTTCAAACTATATACCTTGACTATTATTAAACATTTCCTCCTACTACATCATGTTCTGATGCATTTTATTTATTTCATTTTACATTAGGAACTATGTCGATCTTTTTACTTAATTAGTCTTGATTTCTATGGTAAAGGTGGTCGTTGGCTAAGTCTTATTAATAAACTTGACTACTCTACTGTTTAAGAATAAGTCTTTAAGGAAAATCCTTACTTTGTAAAATTCATATTTACTAGTGTATATCAGAATAAATGAATGTATTTTATAAATTTAAGAATAATTTTACTGAATTAAAAAAATTAAAAATTATATTCTATCATATACCAGTTATGTTGGTAAATTCAGAGGCTAGAATAAAATCATTGCATTCTAATAAGTTTTAAAGAGGATCTAAAATTTACCTGGACCAGAACCTCCTTGCTGAATTTTTTGACGTGTTCGCATACGTTGAGTTAATGAATCTATATCGACGGAAGAGGATAGTACAGAAACAAACTCTGATTTCCATTTAGTCACCAGTTCATGAACTACATCCATTAACATATTTAAATGGTAGAAAACCTAAATGACAGTACAAAGTTTTACAGAAAAGACGGTAAACGTTAAATATAACAAATATGAATTGACAGTTTAGTGTTGGAATACGGAAAAGAGTTATCATGTTAGCTAAAGAACAAACTGGACGACACCAAATGTTGGTTTGTGATGAAATCCGAACTATAGAAAATGTCCGAAAAAATCATTTGACTTAATGATAATCATGTAGTCAACACTAGTGATGAACTTATTTAGATTATAGTGAGAGGACGTCATCTATGACACCAAATAAATATTCATGTATGTGACAATAACTCATCGATGGTAGTTAAATTAGTTTTAATGAACCCATTCACTAGATACTTGGGTAAGGAACCACACTTTAGGTTTGAGGGCTAACGATACAATCTAATCGCCTAAACCAAGACAAGAGAGAGTTTTGGACCTGAAACCTGGTGGGAGAAAGTCGAATGCCTTAATCACTAAGCTACCGCTTTACCATTGATGATAATGGATGTAGAAGATCGAACTATATTTTCGATTGTTTAAAGTCAGAAATATGAACCATCAAATTCTAACTTTACGGTTAAATGGTATAGTAGATGGGACAAAACATCACCGTCCTGGCTAGAATTTTTGTTTTATAGCATTAAATAATCTCAAATTAAAGTATAAAACGTGTATCCCGTACTCAATTTTCTTGAATGGCTCTTCAGATAATCTCGATGCCCGTGGATAAAAACTGGATTTAAACTGTCCAAACACAATACGAATTTTTATTCTAAATGTTTGTGAGTACATACCTTTCCAAACACATTAAAAACAAATCAGTGCTTTCTAATTGCAACAAGCTTTGCGTAACTAATGTTTCTCTTGAAACTAGTGTTTTTTGGAAACATAATATATGGATATATACATATATATCTTTTGCGTAAAGTCACTTTATTGACGGACAATTTGTCAGATACGTCCCAAGTTATACTTTACCTAACGCCTGTTAACATTCACAGAGTAGCATAGGCCGCTCACCAACATTATACATCGAAATCTGACGTGGTCAATCCTTTCCAGTTGTTTTCAGTTTCTATTCATCCTTTTCATGTCTGCTTCCAATTCCCGATGCAATGTGCTCTTTGGTCTTCCATTTTTCCGTTTCCCTTCAGAATCTAAAGTTCGCACTTGCCTCGTGATTCAGTTTGATGATTTCCGTAATGTATGTCCTATCCATCTCCATCGTCTTTTTTTAATATCCTCTTCAGATGAGAGCTGGTTTACTCTTTCCCACAGTAGGTTGTCACTAATGGCATCTGGGCAACGGAATTCAATGTCTTACGTAGACAATTGCTTATAAATACTTGTATCTTTTTGATGATGATTGTGGTAGTTCTTCAAGTTTCAGCTCCATACAATAGAACAATCTGTCTTGACATTCGTTTTGAAGATTCTGACTTTGATGTTAGTTGACAGTTGTTTTGAGTTCCATATGTAATTCGACTATAGGAATGCTGTCCTTGTCTTGTCAATCCTTACCTTTACGTTCGCATCAGATCCTCCTTATTCGTCGATGATGCTGTCCACGTATGTGGACGTTTCCACATCTTTCAGAGCTTCGCCACCAAGTGCGATTGGGTTGATGTTCTCCGTGTTGCATTTCAGAATCTTAGTTTATCATTTGTGTATGTTGACGCCTACTGATGCAGAGGCTTCTGTAACACTGGCTATCTTTATCGGCATTTGTTGGTATGGATCAGATAGATGAGCTAGGTTGTCTGCAAAGTCCAAATCGTCTAGTCGTATTCAAACTGTCCACTGTATTGCGTGCTGCCCCTCAGCTGTAGAGGTCTTCGTAATTCAGTCAACCACGAGAAGAAATATAAAGAGTGACAGTAGGCAGTCTTGTCTGACACCAGTCCTCACTTGGAATACATTCGGCAGCTGTCATCCATGCACGACTTTGCAGTGTAGTCAGTCGTATGAGTTCCAGATGATATTGACGATCTTCTCAGGTACACTGTAGTGTTGAAGGAGGTTCCATAAGGTCCTCTATTCACATTGTCAAACGTCTTCCCACAGACAAGGAACTTAATGTACAGTGACGAATTCCATTCAATTGATTGTTCAACGATAATCCGTAGTGTCGCTATTTTTGGTCTTTGCATGACCGCTCCTTACGGAATCCAGCCTGCTGATCTCGAAGTTTGGCGTCTACTGAATCTTTCATTCGGTTCAGCAACACTCTGTTGAAAACGTTTCCCGGTGCCGATAGTAGTATGATGCCTGTGTAGTTCTTACACATTTTAGATCTCCTTTCTTTGGTATCTTGATGAGATATCCTTCTTTGCAGTCTGTTAGCGGCACTTGTTCTTCCTCACAAATCTTTCTGAAAATAACGTGGAGCATGATTGCAATTACTTCTATGTCCGATTTCAGTGCTTCAGTTAGTATATTGTCAGTTCCTGCTGCTTTCCCACTCTTGATCAGTTTGATGACTATCCTGAGTTTTGCGATCTTTGGTGGAGTGACAGCTATAGAAAGATCTGCAGGTGCTACTTCGATGTTTGGTGGATTCAATGGAGTTGGTCTATTCGAAAGTTCTTCAAAGTGTTCCACCCATCTGTTCCTCTGTCTTTGAATCTTAGTGATTCGCTTGCCCTCTTTGTCCTTGACCGGTATCTCTGATTTACTATATTTTCCTACCAGTTGCTTTGTCGTTTCATATATTTGTCTCGTATATTCATTCTGTTGCAGCTTATTCCGCTGTCATTGTTAGGTCTTCCATGTATTTCTGCTTGTTGGCTCTAATGCTCTTCTTAACTTGCTTGTTTGCTTCAGTATACTCAGCTTATGCCTTGGCTTGCTCTGTTCTTGTTCGGCTGTTGTTAATTGTAGTTTTCTTGTTCTTTCTTTCTTGAATCTTGTGCAGTGTTTCAATGCAGACCTATTCCTTATGATGCTTCCTGCGATCCAGGACGTCCTGACATATTGAAATTATTGTTTCGTCGATCCCTTTCCATTTGTCCTTCATAGAAGTTTCTTCTTCATTGAGTAGATCTTGTGAGGCTTGTAACCTGTTGTTGAGAGCTATCTTGAATTCGTCGAGTTAGTCAGTATGTCGAAGGAAGGCTGCATTGAACCTTTGTAGTGCTGTTTGTCTAGTTGTCCAATGCTTGTTTAGCTTCAGTTTCATCTTGGCAACCACCAGGTGGTAATGTAAAGCTATGTCAGCTCCTCTCCTAGTTCTCACGTCTTCCACTGACCTTCTGAATTTTTTAGTGATACATATATGATCGATCGGGCCCTGTGTAGTGTGATTCGGTGAGATGCATGTAGTTTTTTGTAAGCTTTTGTGTGAGATTATTGTGCCGCCTATAACCATTTTGTTGAACGCGCATAATTTTGTGAATATCTCACCTTACTCATTCCTTTCTCCTAGTCCATATCGTCTCATGATAGCTTCATACCCGGTGTAGTCCGTTCCGACCTTGGCGTTTAGGTCTCCAATCAGGATAGTCAAGTCCTTTCCTCGGTACCTTTCTACTTAAAGCTTATTTTTTAAAAATAGTCATGTAAGCAATTAAATATACATATTTGTTCTCTAGATCCTAGTAAATAACATTTTCTCATAACAAAATACGATTTTTTTCGAAAAGCAAAATATGAAAATTTTAGTTAATTTAAACAGAAATCAATAGTTAAGCTGTATACATTGTAAGTAAGGACTATAGCCTGTAAAGCTTATCACAGAATATTTCAAAATGGAACTGAACTGAAGCTTTAATATGACTTTAACTTGAAAATAAACCCATAGTAAATCAATGGACAATTTGGAGTAGACAATATATTTAAATCAACAGTTTTATCATGATGATTGAAATACAAAGTTTTCTAGAGAAACGTAAACCGGTTTTTCGTAAACAAAATGGTTTTTTGAAATTCTTTAAGCTCATTTGCATACGAATAGCGAACTAGTGGTTGAGTCAATGACATTACCACATGTCGTGAAATTAGTTTATCCATTGAGGAAATTTTTATTTTATTTATTTATTTCAACACATAAATATTGGTACAAAGAGGCACCAAATACATATGCGCTACACAAATTTCATTCGATATGTGTGAGGGCTGTGATACTACCCAGGTGCCCAAACCGAAGCAGGTGTTTTTCTTAGGGGGCCACACCCCGAGCCTTCGACCTGAAGGTCTGATCCACAAGGCGGTGGAGCATCGTAAGGAGACGCAGTCCCATGGAAGCCGGTGACCAACAATTGGTTCATATGCCATTTGTTCCCGCAGGACACTGAAGCCCATGTGCACCATTGGTTTGGAATCCGGTTAAAGCGCCGGGCATTCGCTTTTCGTCCTCTCATTTTCGTAAACAACACCCCCGCCATGAGAAGGCAGTGAGTAGGACTTCCCTGGCGGAGGCTATATACGCGTGGCCATGTGAGAGCATTACGAGAGGGAGAGCGGACTCTCCCCACTCGGCCGTACTAGGGCATTTGGGGGCCCATTGAGGAAAGCGAGATAATAGTGAAATTATTAGCAAAATGGATTAATTTTTTAAAAGTCATCAACACTATTACTAATAAGGATATCCTGCTTCGATCTGGGCACCCGAACAGTATCACAGCCCACACACAAATCAAGTGACTAGTGTGGCTCATATGTATTCGGTGCTCGTTTGTACCAATATTTGTGTTCAAATAAATAAATAAAATAAGGATATACCAAATCGTTTAACTATGGGTAACTGTTGTAACTTTACAGAAAAATTGTTAAAGTATGGGAGTAAAAATCATTTTTTGGTCAAAAATAAGATAAAGACCCTCTTACTCACTATATAGAATCTAATCTAAAATGCAAGATACTGCAAAATAATGTCTACTAATACACACAATACCATTTTTAATGATATCTGACGTGAACATTGTGTTGTAAGCTACAAAACACCACAGAATTTGACCTGTTGGACTGACCCGATACCGGGTGTGGCTATGTTGTTGTATTTAATCATTGTTTAACTTGCATACTAACATTTTGTATTTACTTAGAAAAGTTAATATAATAAGGAGGAGCAAAAAAGAAACAGTTTACCTGTAGTCCTGTAGCTAATTGAGTTTGATCAGATAACTCATACGATGAATTGATTAGGCCCCATGCTTGTGACACCATACTCTCTCGAACTTGAACTAATGCACGATTATAGGACTCCAATACATGGATTCCTTCCCATTCCATATTGTTAAAAATGAAGTTTAACTCATTTACATACATTGCACATTGACATAAATCTTTAGACCTACCTATTTAAAGATAATAGTGATAATGATGTTATATGAAGAGCAAAATACTCACTTTGAATTCGTTTCATTAGTGTTGCTACTCGAGATATATTACGAAGAATAGCACATGTAATGTGTAGATTTTTGAAATGAGTTACATTTGTGGTTAATGTTTCATGTGGAGTATCTATTTTCTTTTTAACTTTCGATAAAGAAATTGACAAGTTTCGTATTTTATCTTCAACTGCCTGCAAAACATTTTGCAAATTATCAATGTCAGAGGCTCTTTTAAACAGGTCGACATGATTATCAGCAACATGCTGATGAATCAGAGTAGCTAACCTGTGAATGATAGAGAAATAAACAACATGACGCCTACAGCATTTCAAAAAAGTGACAATATTTGCTTAGGAAAGAACAAGAATGAGCATACTTCTTACCACAATGATAAAAATGAAGCAATTTAATTTCACAAATAGTGATTGCATCTACATAATAACTTTTATATTCAAACAAGCTTTACACAATCGAAGTATCATAAATGAAGTGATATGAATAAAATGAAAATTTGTGAGTTTTAAAATAGAATATCGAGACAATAATTTTCCGAAAAAAACGAAATAGATAAGAATACTGTATTTAAAGAAGCATCAAGGATTCAAGGACAATTACTCGTGACGGACTACTTCAAAAGTATAGTATATTATAGTATGAAGATCCCAAAAGTCCTATTTCAACTATTTTAACCTGGTGGGATTGGCATGTTCAGCAAATGTTAGTACTATTGATGAGCGAGATTCTCATTTCCTATGAAATAAAATGAATATCAGGAGACCTCAAAACCTAGTTCTATACTTACTGGCAATTAAAATTCATAACTTTTGAAATGAGATTATCTTAGGAAAAACGTTTGTCAACACTAATGGCAGAGTATTAGCCTACAAACGGTTCGATTCTCAGTGAGTCAGAACAGTGGCATCACAGAACTGGAAATCACTTAATTCTAATAATTTCTATTCAAAGTTTCTTTTATAAGTTTAAAAGAAAGGAAAAATTCTAAAAATAATCAGTTTGACTGTTTCACTGTTTTGTACTCGATCCAGGCACACTGAAAGGTCATTAAATCCAGCTTTACATTAAAAATGCGTCCGTCCTTTAATAACAGTTAAGCATGGATTCCAGATATGATGTGATTTAATGAAGAAAATCCTCTACTTATTAACTGGTACAACCAAAAAATATAACAGAAAACTGGAGTATGTGATGTGCGGGATTTGGATTTTATTGTACACACAAAACTTAAGAACACAAATATATTAGGCTGAGAGTCAGTCAGTCAGTTTCATTCTTACTTAGTGCCACCACAATCAAGACGAAATTTTAGAAATTACTTGAGATTCATTAGTTCAGATGATAATGCTGATTCAAAGATTTTAATTATACTGTTGGATTTTGTGATCAACTATTTCGCAGAGAATGAAAATATTTACGTTAAAACATGTTTTCGAGGAGATCAAAAACCATATTTGATTGGTTGCCTTAGTCATTAAAACGTTGGATACTGATGAAATGGTTATACTAACTACACAAATGGTTGATGCAAGAATTTATCGGCATCTTTCAAGGATATGTTGATATAGTCTCCTAGACCAATGAACATGATCTGAATATTTCTGAACAAAATATTAAATTTACCTTTGCTATAATTAACCAAGTAGTTTTTTTTCCATTTCCGGAAGTTTTATTAAGAATAAACAATATATTCTGAGTTACATACAACTAAATAATTTATTATGTGTCTACTTACTCTCTTATTCGGTTATCTATTGTGCATAAAACATTTGAAACTTTATTAGTACCAACAATATAAGAGACGAATAATCTAGCATCGAAGTCAGCATTAGAGAAGTTTTCCAAGTTTTCATCCATTGGTTTTCAAATGCTTATTTTCTGGAAGGCAAATAAGTGTTAGTCAAGAAATGAGAAGATAGATGCTATGAAGTTTCTGGTGGTTTGATTTTATGAACTACTACAGTGTGTAAAACAGTAAATTTAGCCCCATAATATGAAATAATTTGAATACATAGTATCTCTAATGTAACATTTTAATTGTATAAATACGATACCCTGACGCGACGTAAGATCAACTTAAGAAGTTATTCTAAATAAAAATGAAGCGCAGACATTCAAACACTTGATGAATTTGTCCCAAATCTAACATCGGGGTCTGAAAGTTCATGTGATCGTTTGCGGATGGATAAATCTCAATTTTATTCGTCCAATTTTAATATTTCATTTCAGTTGCTCAGCCACTACGTAGAACCTGTAAGTATGTACATCGGTTCAAGTTGTCATACCCCGTAAGCACAGAGAAATGGAGTTTTTGGGCCAAATCCCAGAACAGTAGGCGTAGCAACAGGGTCAGTGGTAATAATAAAAATTATGCCCAGAAGATAGGACTAGAAAAGAAATCTTTTTCTTTATATCGTAGTCGTTTTTCAGAGATCCAACTGGTGCTGCTTCTGTACTCGTTATAGTAAGTTTTACCGGGTCTTCTCCGAATTTTGTTAAGATCTTTATCTCGGCTATTTTTGTCGGTTTACACTGTTAAATAATCGGCTAAATTTTGCAATGTTTCTGCCAGGAGTGAAAATAACTGAAAGTTTAAAAATGAATTAATAGTGATAAAAAATTTCTACATTTAACTAAGTACCATTTCAGAAGCTTTGCCAAAGTAATGTTTATGAACACATTTTCGTCCTTATGAAATGATAAAAAAGCATTCTTTATTAAAGGTATACCCAAGAGGTATGGTTATTTTACACCCAAGTATCGATTTTTGAGTGATTGAAGGAGCAAGATTCGTTGAACTTACGGTAAAAATAAAGATTTAGTTACACAAATGCTTCGTGAAGGCTCCACTTTTTTCCCTTACGATCAACTCCATCACGCATCACAGTACAACAGTAATTATGGGTTAATTTATCAAAATTATTATCTTCAGGGGTCAGATATTTATAGCAATTTCAACCAATTTAAACTATGGAAAATTTAGTGGCAAGAACGTACGAATCAACATACTTGTTGCATTAAAGATTTGAATTGCCCATAAGATGGATGCTTTTGTAGTGTCAATGAAACAAGTTTGATTCGATACAGTACTATCACAACGGTTTTATTTGATGAAATAATCATAGAACGAAAGTTTTACAATCCACTACGGTCCACGTGTTTGGCATTTTTAAAGTGACTAGGGTGAGTGTAGACAATGCTAGTTAACAAACGATTAATTTTCATCACGAAAAAAATAAATTTCGCCGTACTGAATTATTGGTAGTGGCGAAAATTATTCCGTAGGGCGGACATGATTAGGAACTCTACAAGTGTAGTGGCATGACGGGGAAGAATAAAGCACTATTACCAGCAATTCTGTAGCAAAAGCTTTTGAGCTACCATGTTACCTCTGCTTTATAGGTGGTTTCCCAAGACGTCGGCATAATTAAAGAATATTTCCGTGCATTCGATTCACACTTTGCATGCGAAATAACCACATTCTGACCATAGAGAATATAAGTGGTCAGTGAATAAAAATAGATTCCCAACTACCTTCAAAACTATACATTTTAACATAGCTAGTTTTCGAGCGTTTCATAAAATGTGGTCTTTGTGAACTGCGCTATAACAACTTTGACATGGAAATGATACTGAGATTAGCAAACATTAACAAATTCAAAACGGACACGCATTACCACAACACAACCTTGAAGCTTTGAAGTATGCACTGTTGTGACACTTTTACAACGTCCAATATAGTGTAAACATCATTCGTTAAGATGTTCTTCGCTGCGAATACAGTTTATTATTCTTAGCTCAGAGAATTAGTTACATTTTTACTTACGAATGTGACCGCGATCTCTGGAGAAATAAGTTAAAACTTTAATGGTAATATGTTTTTATAATTGTTAGCGACTATGATAGGTTATTTTGGATAAGATAGTTATAAAACATGACGAAAAGTGAAGGAGGCTCGTGAATAAGACAGAAATGTTGAGGCCTAACTCACTGTATGTTAATCCCAGTTAAATGAATAAAAAGGTCAAAGTGGTTAAATTGTTACTTTTACCAAGGCAGGTGGAATGTAGTGCTGACGCCTTATCAATAGTAAGGTTAGTTTTAAGCCTTTCACTTGCTGCGGCTTCCTCAAAGTCTTACAAGAAGAAAAGTCACTGTTCATTAACTGATCCTGACGTTTCCACCTTGTCATTAATGAGTTTCTTATCTGGCTGACACCATGCTGTGGATCCATAAACGCCATAAAATCATGAAACTGTGCTCAGTACAAAATTTTAATGTCCCACCTTTTCAATTTTCTGATTGCCACACTTTAAGCTCATATCTAAAATGATGTACTTAGGGTTGATTTGTGGAGCTATACCAAAAGTTTTCACGTCAACCGAGTGTGATGTAGAAAAACGGTCATGTTTACACCCATGAAGTCGATGAATTTGTCATATAACTATGCAAATTTTGTTTTAAAAAAACTAGATTATGGTGTGAGTTTTGCCGTTACTGTAGTTCTTATTCACCATACCACACTGCGTCATACCGGACACTTGCACTACATACTGGAATGCTATACCAAGTTATAGAAAGCTTAGCAATAGTCGTGGTCGTTTTAAAATGGACTGTCAGTGAATAATGGAGAAGAGCCTGTGGCTAAGTTTAGTTCTGGTAGTTGTGCTGTAAACCGTTTTTCGATGCCTTAATGACTGTAACCTTCAGTCTCGAAACAATATCGTTCTTTTTGAGGCGAGTCATAGTAACTCATAAAATATCTTTTTTTGTTGTTAATCTATAGTTAGCTTTTGGGATTTAAGGCCTAATTATCTACGTACAACTATTTCAAGTGACATTTCTGTCCAAATGAAGTAATATTTACAATTCCTCTTGAGTTTAGTATACTTGGTTATCGTATAATTCAGATTCATCAAAATAACTTCAGTATTTGAAGAAGGTAATGAAGTACATAATTCCGGTAACCTGAGTCGCTTAAATTTTTATTTCTGCTAGAGCATTTTAGCTTCTGGTCTAGAAAACGATATATATAAGATTGTGTAGCCTTAGAAGAGGGATTTGCTACCACTTAATTAATTGCGACTGGCTGTGGATCAACATCGGAAATCTGTTTAGCTGCATGTGGTTCTATTTCATCAGTCAACAAATCTTTTCATATATCTTGCCGTGAAAAGTGACACAAATGCATTAGAATTCGTAAATGGAGGCATAAGAATCATGACTGTACATTAAATTATTTAGTACATAGTATGCCTTTTATGGTTTGATAAGATTGATCTAATATTTGACTAATATCCATATAGATGTTGGTAAATCACAGTTGTGTAAATCCTTTGCGTGGAAACACTAATTTAATTCATTTGTTTACTTAGTTCGCACACATGAGTACGTTCACTGACCTATTTTCTTTTTTTGCGATGCAAGAACAGTAGGATAAACTCGGTGAAATGTTGTCTGCTGATAATTCCATATTGCTGATCAAAGCCATTACTAATTTTTTATCACCAATGAATCAGGAGTCAGCTCTAAACGAATACTTTGAAAACTGTATCGTCGTTAGAATCATGTGAATATGGAACCGTTTACGGAAGGTTGTACCAACAGCACCTTCCCCACAGTTTTTAAACGTCAGGTTGAACATTCACTTCCGTTTCACAACCACTTATAACGGTTAATGAAGCCCTAGAATAAATAGTTCCAAAAGACTTCGACATTTATGCTGACCTAGGTAGTTTCACTAGACACCTCTAACTGAATTAGCTCGATCACGCATCCGTACTAGATCACAAGTGAGTACGCCGTGCTACGCGTCCCTCGCAACTACCAGCTGGCTTAGACCAAACGATTCCTAATATATCGATAGCATTCCAAATGTTTTTGAACCCCTTCACTTTTGACTTATGATTTGACAAAGTTCTTATTCTTCGATCATAATGGTGTTATATGTATAGGCGTTATCAAACTCTGAATACCTGTAACATTCTTACACTAGTTGCAAGTTACTGGTTTTATTCATTAATTTCAGAAAAATACCAAAGACTATATCTTTGCATCATCAATGTGAAAATTGTTGATGAAAAGCTGGTGTAAATGCTTACTTGATACTCCTTCATCAATGAAGTGGTTCTTGAATAAATTTGCAAATCTGACTCCTTTTTGATGCGCTAAGTTCGCCGTCGTAAGAAATCCGTGAATTACGAACGTTTCGGCATCTAGTTCTTATGTAATAAGTAACGCTTTAATGTAGTAAAATATACATTGAACTTTCTTGTCGTAAAAGAACTACAGACCTGGGTCCATGTGAACATTATTAAAGGAAACAGGTTGGTGCGTCCCTAGCCATTTTACGACATAGGGTAACCATCATGACGCATCACATAAGTCGGTGGATTTTGTACGCGTTATAGATCCCTGCATCCTATCTCACAGTTGCAAAGTCGAGTGTTTTATGATGTGCAAACAATGCCTCGAATGCATCTAATGGAATACTAGTTACATAAGGGCAACCTAATTAGCATATTATCCGCCCGCCTAGCTTCTTAATGAACGCACGACGACAGCACCATTAAGCGTTTCACGACTCCCATCATCACGTCAAATAGGTATGTGTTCACTGAATACAATATAATCCTTATGATTTTTACCGTTAGATAAATAACAGTTTGAAAATCGGAGTAAATAGCAATATACAGAAGATGCACCATGGCGACTTGTCTTTATTGATTGCCTGAAATAAAGAAGAGAGATTTCAGCTAAGCATGTACATTCAGTAGGAATTAGGTGTCAGTTTGTAAAGAAAAAAATGGATTTAGCCTGTAAGAAATAGTCCTACTGTTACTGTGCTTTCTAAATGACAGTGTTACAGGACACGTTTACGTATTGAAATTGCAAGAACTTTATCCAAAAATATAATTCGAACAGAGAAAAGCTGTTGCGCATTACAACAAGTTCAAACTGCCTGTTTGCTTCATTGCAAAAGACTTCCGAGACTTAAAAGAACCCCGGAAGCATGTAAACCTCGATAAGTTTGATAATCTGCTCAGGTTTACTCTCAATTGTTACCAGTGGTATAACAACTTGCAGCTGACCATTACTTATTCTCTGGAACTACGCATCACTGGTCAGATACTTTTTGCTGAAAAGTTGGTTGTGGATCATCTTTGATACAGCTATTACATACCGGTCGAGATCATACTGCGAACGAAAGATGATTTGGCAACGGGTAAACTTCAGTCTATAAAGACAGCGTAGTAACAGTAGTTTAACTTTTCACTCTAGCCATGGCACTACGGCTTAATTTTATGGCCTGAAGAGCAGACATACACGGAATTGTGATTACGGATTTCCGACTTTTGTCCGTCCAACATGTTTAAACGTACCACGTAATGCCCCTAGTTATCTTACAACGCTATATATTCAACGACAAACCGTCTGCAATAGACCTAAAACATTTCTGTATTTGTCCCAAATTTTCAGGCTCATTATTTCCATATTTCTGAATTTACCACTGGTATCCACTACCGGAAACTCAGTGAGTTATCTATAAAAACAAAGTGAATGATAGAACGAAAACCGTTTTCTTCCATAGTCCTCGACAACATCATAACATTTAGTAATAAATATACGGAGAGTTCGGGAATCATTGGTGGAAGGAACACTGGTTTGGGCTAAAATCCCTTTCACTGGTGTCTGATATCTAAAAAAGATAGCTCAAAACAAAGCAGATCAACGTTTTGTCACGTAAATCTTGTGTGAATGCCGGAAAGAACACACTCACCCGAGTAGTAGTAGTAGCAGCAAGAAATGAGAAAAAAGAACTGGTTGAAAAACATTGGTACTGACATTAAGAACACCACATAAATTGCGTTATTTAGGCACAATGAGTGGGTGGATTCTTCAGCGACACGAAGAAGCCAGTGGAAAAACAAACGGAACAAGGCGGGACTACGGCCTTTGTTTACAACGATGAAGGAATTCACAATTCCTGAATCATTCTAATCGATCACTTAGTAGACTGCTGACATTATGAACTGAAGTTAGGTTTATTTACAGCCAGAGTCGATATATGATGTATATTTGTCTGGTCCTGTCTACTGAGGACAGTAGGACCAGGTGATGTCATTTCAAAAATATTTAGTATCTGAAAATTGTGTATTATTGCATTTTCTGAAGAAACCCGAAATGGTTTCTTCACAACACTTATGTACCCATAAGATGTTTGTGAATAATAATAATAATAATAATAATAATAATAATGTTTGTATCGTTGATTAGTTTTTCTTTGGAATAAAGTTTCGTATTTGTGGAATTCTTAAAATCTTTTTTTCTTCCTTTGTTCACTTTAGTGACTAGACTTAATTGGATGAATATAGTTAAGCAGGCTGGTGTGTCTTGAATATAACTAAATTTCCTCTGTATCAGGGAAGCTTGGTTACCATAACCTCAGTCATCATGTTATCGGAGAATCAACTGGAAGGAGATAATCTTATTATAATATTGATAATAATGATTAAATATCTAGATATAATGCATTTAGAACTAAAGAATAAAAGGAGCATATCGCCAACAATGTTGTTCGTTAACGGCCTAAATATGTGAAAGACACTAATCCGCGATTACGAAGGTAGTTATAGAACCTTCTCCTGAAATTTTTAAGAGCTGTGGTGATGTGGAAAGGATGAACTATTCAGATTTTGTCTCGAA